GGGATGGTTTATTTTTATATCTGTAAACAGGTTTACTAAATATATGTATATATACTGGCATCCTGAAGGATCTTGTCAGTACAGCCATTCCAGAAGACAGCAAGTATTATTCGTTAAGCCATGTACATCACTGATAGCCACTTCTCTCCCTTCCCTCATTTGAATTGTTAGGGATCCCCCTGGAAACGTAAGTATTTCTTTAGAACAATTTTAAAAGTATAGTTTTAGATAGTGGGTGTGCTCTGTCACATGTTCAGTGTTAAAACACTGTTCAATGGCAAATGCTATTTACTATTATGGAAACTTAAAAAGATGTAAGTCATTTAGGAATGATTTAGGGAAAGAGAAAATGTATTTGTGTTTTCTAATCTTCACAGGACTAATGAGAGACTATCAGAGATCAATACAAAACTTCTGGTAGAGAGACAGCAGCACCAAACTTTACTCGGCACTCTTACTCTGAGGTCAGGCCTGGAACCACCTTATTGTGGACATTTTGAAAATAATTTAGTGCTTAATAGAAATCTTACTCCAAGAGGAAACTTAGTGATTCCTACCTCAAACCCACGGCCGTCATATGACTACAGGGAGACTTCCTTGTGGAAGGTTAGTTATATTATCTGTTTTACTTTGGGTTTCAGATATCTGATATAATTGTTGCTTTTAATTTGGTGAAATTCTGAGTTGTTTAAGTAACTAATACATACGAAGTAAAAATCATAATTATATGTGCTAAGAAAGAACTGAGGTAAATTTTATAATTTTTTGTTTTTTAGTCCCCGGATCTCTCATTTTCAAGGGATACTTATTTTTATTTTATTTTTTTGAGAGAGTGAGTGAGTGCATTCAGGGGAGGGGCAAAAGGAGAGGGAGAAAGAGAATCCCAAGCAGGTTTCATGCTCAGCACAGAGCCCAATGTCGGGCTCAGTCTCAAAAACCATGAGATCATGACCTGAGTCAAAATCAAGATTTGGGCGCTTAAAACAACTGAGCCACCCAGGTGCGCCACGAGAGACACCTAGTATTAACTGTATTCAATAAATATAACTAAACTGACCCATTTTAAATTTCTTGAAAAGCTTTCATTTAAATTTGATTTTAGAAAGTAAATGTTATTGCCTGCTAACCACAGGTACACTTAGATGCTTGGACTTACTTTCAGTTGGCAGTGATTCATAAACATTTGAAAGTTTTGCTGTAATCCAGTTTTTGCACCCCTGTACATAAGTAAATGATCGGTCTCCAAACACTTAACGACATAATGAATGTTTACTATTTAAAAGAATCCATGGGGGTGCCGGGGTGGCCCAGTCAGTTCAGCATCCAACTCTTGATCTCAGCTCAGGATTTGATCTCAGGGTCATGAGTTCAAGTTCTGCATTGGGCTCTACGCTGGGCATGGAGGCTACTTAAAAAAAGAATCCATGATAAGTCCTTATTATGAATTAAATCAACTTGCAACACTAAAAAGGTTAATTTCTCTTTTAAGTTACAATATTGGTATTTTCTTACACGAGAATACATCCTTAATTGCTTTCTTACTTATGACACTCTTTTTTCTTTTTCCTTTTTTTTTTTTTTTGACTTATAGCACCTTGTTTCAATTTTTATAAAATGTCTTGCTGAGCAATTGTAAAGCATTTTCTAAATAGCTAAATCAAGCAAATATTTGAATCAAGCCATTATTTGAATACTAACAGTTAAATTTTTTTTTTTTCAACGTTTATTTATTTTTGGGACAGAGAGAGACAGAGCATGAACGGGCGAGGGGCAGAGAGAGAGGGACACACAGAATTGGAAACAGGCTCCAGGCTCTGAGCCATCAGCCCAGAGCCCGACACGGGGCTCGAACTCACGGACCGCGAGATCGTGACCTGGCTGAAGTCGGACGCTTAACCGACTGAGCCACCCAGGTGCCCCCTTTTTTTTTTTTTTTAATTTTTTTTTTTTTGAATACTAACAGTTAATGAGAAAATCCTTTTAATTAAAAATTCTTCAAAATTTTTCTTTGAATTAAAATTTGCTGATATATAGTTTTTCTGTGTATACTTTTCTCACCCTCTTATTTTTTTGATAAGTGGAAAGGTATAAATAAAATCACACATGTGTTCTTACTCATGGACTTCAAAGCTATTTTCACCATTGAAACGCAGATTTTACCTAGAAATAAACATAAAGGTCACAGAGGTAAGTATTTAGGAAAAGAGCTTTTGGGGGAAAGATGCAACATTACCTTGGTAGTTCCTTAAGTCATGTCATATAAAAAACGTGGTTTATATTTTACATAGTATTTATTAATGGTGATATAAAATTGTTTGAATAAAGCCTTCCCCCATCGTCTGGTATTGAGTTATTAATTTTGTAAGTCTGGTATAGTAATGTTGTCCCATTCATTTTATAAGGCCTGAATATAATGCTATTGTCAAAAAAGTGTTATGGTTCCTCAAAAACTTAAAAATAGATATTCATTAATTCCACAACTGCGTATTTACCCAAAGAAAATGAAAACACTAATTTGAACAGTTGTGTGCATCCCTATGTTTATTGAAACATTGTTTACAATAAACAAAATATGGAAGCAACCTAAGTGTCCGTTGATGAATGGATAAAGAAGATGTGTAATATGTATACAATGAAATATACCTCAGCTATCAAAAAGAATGAGATCTTGCCATTTGTGACAACATTGATAGACCTAGAGGGTATTATGCTAGGTGAAATAAATCGGAGAAAGACAAATAAATACCATCTGATTTCACTTACATGTGGAATATAAAAAAACAAGTCAACAAACAGAATCATAAATACAGAGGACACACTGGTGGTTGCTAGAGGGGAGGTAGGTAGAGAGGTATGGACAAAATAGGTGAAGAGGAGTAAGAGGTACAAATTCAGTTATAAATAAGTCACAGGAATGAAGAATACAGCATATGGAATATCATCAATAATATTGTATTAATGTATGGTGACAGAGGGTAACTACACGTACGGTAGTGAGCATAGCATAGTGTATACAATCGTCCAATCTGAATTTGTATATTGAAACTAGTGTAACATTGTATGTCAGCTATACTTCAATTTAAAAAAGGTATTAGGGAAAACAGTCTCTGAAAATATTGGGAAACATGTCAGCCAAAATATTTGTCCTCACACCTAAATTTGTAAAGACATTGGAATCCTTATCACCACAGTGTTGATTATGTTCAGTACACTATTTTGGAGCCCGTTTGGGGCATTCAGGGAGAGGCTACTTTTATAAGAAAGATCTAAATAAGAACATTCTAGATAGGAACAGTTGTAATATACAGTTGACCCTTGACCAACATGGTTTCAAACTGTGCAGGTCTACTTTACTTACACATGGATTATTTTTGGATACTGTATAGTACTGTAAGTGTATTTCCTCTTCCTTCTGTTTTTCTCAATGTCATTTTTTTGCCCTGGCTTATTCTACTGTACAAAACATGTATTAATCGACTGTTTATGTTACCGGTAAGGCTTCCGGTCAACAGTAGGCTATTAGTAATTAAGTTTTGGGGGGATGAAAAATTATATGCAGGTTTTTGACTGCACCCCAACCCCTGTGTTATTCAAGGGTCACCTGTAGTTTGAAATATTCATACACATTTGATAAGTAAGTAGATAACCATAACTTTAATAAGTCAAGTGTTTCAAAATTTGGTGCTAAAGTTACAATTGAAAATTGTATATTGTTTTCCTTATCTCTAATTGAGAAAGTTATAAATCAGAAGCTAAGTTTGAAAACTGTTGTAACCCTATATTTTTCCTTTCTTCAAATAGATTTTCTGAAATCTTTGTGTGCATATGAAAAGAAATAAGTGTTTTAGTCATAATACTGATAGCAAAATATTATTTTAACTCAATTTTTTGCCAGTAGAATTTCCACATGACAGTATGACAGTCCCACTTTCTTCATTTTATATGTATTTAAGAGTCAGTCCTGAAAAATTAATAGCAAAAAGCATTCCTTCAAATTTTGTTTTTCTAAAAGTAAAAAAATGGA